CAAAAGCTCCGACGACGCTGCCGAGTTAGAAAGAGATGAGCATTAGAAGCAGGATTCGCGACAGGACAAATGGAGCGGGAAGGGGGGTGCACAATAAATGCGCCGCGTAACGAGAACTTTTCATTTTATGTAATTTGAGTTCGTTTTTTCCTGCTCCGCTTTGTGTATGCCCCACACCCCACACCCCCAACCCACCCCCGCCCGTCCGCTTGCCACGCAATTTCTTTTCGCCGTCGTGCCTCGCTCAGTTTTCTATAACATTCGAATTTTTAAGTGAGTCTGCTTCTGTCGCATTCGCAGCCAAGCCCCGCGCAACTTGTACCCTTAATTTGGAGATGTATGTACTTCATTAAAATCAGGGCACTCTCTACTTCAGCTATCTAAATACATGAAATCTGGCATTTCACCCAATACCTTCGGTTTTGACTCCACTGCTGATAAATGCTCATGCGAGTGTGCCACTTTCTTTTTCGAAATTCACTGGGTGCTTTGTGTTGCATACTTTGCTGCGCCGAGTGGCAAGCGGTGAGCGGTGCATTGTTTAGAGCCTCTTAGACCTAGGGTATTCCCTGCTTCGACCTGCGGATGTGGAGTTCCCTTGCTTCCTAACAAGACAGTTGCGACACTTTGCTGCGACTCCGACTGCGCCAGCTCCTGTGTTTAAATGTGTTCAAATTACGAAAGCGACATTAATTTTTTAGAATCGCGCGTATGTGTTCAACGATTGCGTTCGCGCAGCTTCTCGAAGCTTTTTTTGCCCGTCGGCGGGGTTATGGGGATTGGGGTTTGGATGCGGGCGGAGCTGGGACGCATCGGATCTGGGAAGTGGAGCCGCACTGCGCGCTGGGCTTTGTAGTAGGCATGGAACGCGCGCGTCTGCGGATGTAGTTGTCTTATTTTTTACGAGCACGATATGTTGTGCAAAACAGCACTTGTTCGTTTCTATGCGTGGAGCCCCATTCCACTACAACGGTTAAAATATAGTACTATGCCTCGCTCCATAAACAAGCGAAGTTACCGGGCGGCGGGGCGGGGCGGGGCAAGGGGCTTGGCCATGCCACATCAGCCCTCGTGTCGTTCGTCTGGCGCGCTGCACTAAATAAAATGTATTTATAAAAATGTTGCATCCACTTATTATGAACTTTTTGCTGTGGACACTTTGCTCGCTTGATTTCCACTCGGTTATCAGTTGGACTGGTCGGAGTTCATTATTTGCCGACCGTGGGGCTGGAGGGCTGAAGGGCTGAAGGGCTGGAGCGAACAGCTCTGGCCGAAAAGTGAACCCTAATTCAGATTACAGATACCTAATAAAACGGCGCTATCGACGGCAATCGGCACATGGCAGTGCCAGTGCTTGGATACATGGCAATTGCCGATGACCCCACAGACCCCACCTGCCTGGCTGGTTGGAGACAACCACTCCCCCCCCCCTCCCCCCTACCCACCACCACGCCTGAAATTATTTTATGTGACAATTAAAATGCATTTTTGTGAAAAATGAAAGCCCCATGAATAATGGCAAAAAATATTTGGCGTCACTGGCTTTTTCTACATAATGGCCGACTTTTTTTACCGCAACATTTCTGCACATACGAGTATACAATGCGGCGGGGGTTCGGTTTGGGCCGGCAATATTTATATTTGCCTATGTAATGATTTTTTATTAAAAATAGAAAAGAACCAACAAAACGAATGACGAAAATCGCAGCTCCGACCCGCTCCACCTGCCCACCGGCCACCATGGCGAAATTTATCGATAGAGCGTTAAAAAAAGGCCGCCAAATGAAATGTTAATTTTATTTTGATGTAATATTTAACAGCGACGCGTCGCCAGTGCCCCGACTCCCCTTCCCCCTGCCCCTCAACCCGCCAAAGGACCTCCACGAACACAGACACATATGGCGGCTTTATCTGCTGGCAGCTGACATTGCTAACAAACAATGCGAATCACTGCCAGCGCTGCCCTGACTTACAATGTCCCCAAAAAACCGCCCTTCTTCTCGGCTCCCAGTTTCCACTGGGTCCATTTGCCTCCTGCCAAATCATCATAACAACAGCATCGAGTAGAAAGGACGTGACTTGCAATCCCCAAAATGGTAGATCGCCAAGCAGGAAGCCACATTCCCCCGCGATCATAGCCCTCCAGAACCAGTATCTGCCATCTGCAGATCTATTCTACAGATAGATAGACTTCCATTCTATCTACGGATCTATTGAGGCAGTGGCATCTGATTCAGATGCGACTCTTTCGATGTGGTTGCCAGCGTGGGTTTGGGAGCACCATGGCTCCACCGCGGGCACTAAGACTGCGCACAGACTGCTCGGAACGAACGAATGAGCGGGCGGCACACACACGAACGCACGCCTAGAAGGACGTGCACGCACACACGCACCGCACCGCACGGCACATACATATTCATGTGTGCAAAAAGAATGTAAAGTGTGTGCGCGGGCCCGAACGACATGCTAAAAATTTGTATAGAAAATTAGTTAAAAAATTACTCCGCAGACACGCGCACGCATGGCATGGAGAATGGAGTGGAGCAGGAGCAGGAGCTGGAGGTGGGGGGTCTTGCGGTGGGGGCCTTACTTTACATATGCGCGCCCAAACACACACACACACACACACAGACTAGGCGGAGAGAGCAGGTCGCTCCACCAGTTAGGCACAGTTGGCATTAGTGGGCGGTGTTAGAAGTACGCGCATCCCCTTCACGGCCACCCCCCTCCACGCTCCCCACCACCGCACACACACACACTCACCTAAGCCCCAACCACACACACACACACACTCGCATGGCCCATGTACAATTTTAATGTTTAGAGTCGCGCGCGCTTAAAGTTTGTCATAAAGCACCCCATTAAAAAAAGGGCGAACAGCGAACCAAATGGAGCGGCGGGGGAAGGGGCCCTTTTTGGGGGATGGGGGAATAGGGTGGTGCGTGTGCTGGAAGGCCGTGAAAGTGGGTGGCAAGCGGGCAGGGGCGCGAGACAGGGAGCTCCATTAAATTAAATACAAATGCGAATTAGAAAAACTTTTGCCGTTTTTTGTTTTCGGCCCGCTTTGTGTACATATGAAAAATTAAATTGGCTGCTGCCCGCTTCGACGTCGTCGTCGCTGCTCAGAAATGCAGCGACCGTCGACTGTCACTAACAGACTAGCGCGAATGCCAAGGAGCCAACACGATGGGGGAATGGCAGGGAAAGGGGCACGCACATGCCGGCGGAAAAGCAAAAAGTTTTCTCGAAAAAGAAAGTGCTCGAAGGGGATGTAGTTGTATGTGGGTTAGGGATAGGGATAGGGATGGGGATGGGAATGGGGATCGGGTAGGAGTGAGGGGCGGAACGGCACAGGCTAAAACAAACAGCGGACTCCAAGTTGGCATGGATATAGCTAGGGAAGCGGTCCGGTCGAAGACAGCACTGCAAATGCTCTATCAAACTCATTTCAACTCATTTAAAACACTGATACTTGCATGAAGATGAAATCGCACAGTTGGAGAGGAATAACTAAATTACAGCAGGGAAACTGATCGAACTGATATTCCTCGAAGGTTCCCTTGCTAAATGATCCAGTGATCCGCAGAAGTAGGGCTCGAATATTCCCGCATTGAGGTATTATTATCGGTACGATTTGTGGGCATATCGATGTAGCGTGGAGCAGCGAGTCAAAAGTAAAATTATTTGGCAACGAATGAGCTGGGGAGAGGGGAAGGGGAATGGGCAGGGGAAACGCACAAATTAAAAAATAAGCTTGGCAGCGACGCCGCCAAAAGTGGGCGGTGGGTGGTTGTGTGTGTGTTTGGGGTCTGGGGTAAGAGTGTTCTTCATCTGCACGCACCACAACGCACTTTTCCACAAATACATTTGCAATTTATGTACCTTTTTCTGGCTGCGACGCGCGAAATAATAAAAAGGGAGCACCACACACACACACGCACACCCAGCCCACACACATTCGCGCGTAGGCAGTTGGAAAATGTTCTATATGGTTACATATTAATATGTGAACAAGTGGGAGCGAGAAGAGGCGAGTTTACATAAGCCCCACCAAAAGCGAACGTAACTTTTTTCAGCTCGCGGGTGGTGGAAGGGGGTGGGGTTAGCTCAACTTTCTTTGCATACTCTTCCTGCCATGTGTGTGTGTGTGTGTGCGAGTGTGTGTGTGTGTGTGCGAGTGTGTGCGTACCCCCGATACGATCCGATCCCTTCGAGGGTATTACCCATTCGGTTTTCCGCTGCCGCCTCCATTGCCCTGCCCTTCGCCACTCTCGTTTTTGCGCTTTCGCTTTGTAGTTGTTTTTGGCAATTAACCAAAAGTGGTGGTGCCCGCTTCCCCCTCGCCCACCCCCCTCCATCGCAGTGCTGTCACACGCATGCTTTTTGGATACCCTCTTCCGCCCCCACGCGCCCCTCCCCCATCAGCCACTTGAAAATTTTTAAATATTTTTAACTGCTGCGCTCCACTCGCTCTGTTTGGTTAATATTTTTCTTGCCTGCCTGTTGTGAGTGTGTGCGGGTGTGCGGGTGTGTGGATGTTTGTGTTGGGGGTGTCTAGTGTTTGCCACCACCCTTGGTGCCCCCCTCCCCCCCATGCCACTACGCGTAATATATTAAACAAAACAAAAAGAGACGAGAGCAGAGCGCAAAAAAAACATAAAAACAAAGGCTCAAAAGTAGGTGGAGCAACAAATTTCAGCTCGCTTCTGACACTTGAAGCTTACTCTTTGGCTCTTCGACAATTATACATAGGCACATGTGTGGATGTGGTATCCTCTTTGTGCGTTGCACATAATTAATAATTGGGCGCAACTTACCAGTTCGAGAACTTCATGAGCTTCGAGGTTTCTCTGCGCACTGAAATGCTGAAACAGAGTAGAAATACAGAAAACATTGGTTAGTTTTCAAATCGTTAAAAGACTACTTAGTAGTGAGTTAGAGTTAAGCACCAGCTTGACCTTGAGCAACCCCACTAATCGAGTGTATCTCTTGTATTTTGCAGCTTAAGCCGACTCCGATCGCAGGTGAGTACCGTGCCATAGATTTACAATCGGATTCTAGGGGCCAGAGATCAAATGCCATAAGCAAATAACCAAAGGGCGGGCAGAACACGCAGTTGTCTTGTAGTAAGCTCGAATCCGATAGGCAAAGCCAAAATGACAAACATGCATGTGAGGGATGGCTCACATGAACGCATGAACAAATGAACACACACACACGCACCCCTGCCGGGACACTCACACCAGCGCACGAGCTCCAGCTATTCCTATTGGCTAATTACTGCGAACCGAACTCTCGCTCCCCCACCACACTCAAAAATAATCTGCATATGTGTGCGCGTTATTTAAAGCAAGTCTAGCAAATATGCTGAAACTTTGGGCCAAAACGAAGACGAGCCCAAAACACCCGAAGCACCTACCACCCAACGCCTACCACCTACCAAATACCACCCACCACCCACCACCCCACGTTGGCTGTGCGCTTGTGTGAGTGGCACGAAAATCTAAATTATATGCAGCAAACAACGACCGCCGGCAGAAGCGCCTGCCGTAAGTCTATCCCCATATGCGTGTTTGGCTGCATGTCGATAAACGAGGAATCCGTCTTCTAAGATTTTAATGCAGCTGCAAAAACAGCGACAGCACAGCACACAGGCTGCAAGTAAGTGTGCAGCTATTGCTACACTTCAGGCAATGTTCTTAGACATGCCACGTACTTTTCTAGCCTGCTCGAAGGCGAGGATTAGGACAAAAGTCCCGAAAGGAGTGCCGAAAGTTAAAATCACAGTTGCACTGCTTCCTTGCGTCGCCTAAATTTCCGATTTATTCCCTAGTTATGTTGGCTTGCAACCAGCCTGTGCGTTTTATTTCGAGTGCAGAAGCAGCCTGGCGCGCGCCACATGCAGCTTAAGTAATTTGTCGCAGTTGCCGGCTGCCTGGATGCGATGCTTTCCCTTTGCGTTTGCCGTTGCCGTTGCCGTTGCCTTTGCCTTTGCCTTTCTCTAACCCGGTTCGAGACCCAACCCAACTTTCTCCCATTCAGAGGCAACTACGCGAAACTACAACGAAGACGTCAACATTCACATCATTATCCAGCTTCCTCGCGCTCTCCTCTCCCCTTCTCCCTTTCTTACAGCACACACACACACACACGCACGCACAGCGGCTCTCTCTTCGGCCGAAAAAGGAGCCAAAATATGGAGAGCGAGGAAAATAATACTTCGGGCGCACTTGTTGGCATCCCATTGCCGTCGTCTAAGAGCACTGGCGAGAAGAGAATCCCGTCCAGCATAGCATACTTCTTGGGGCGCCGCGCCGGGGGCGGGGGTGTCCTGGCGGGGGCGGGTGTCCTGCGTCGAGGCGCTACTGGTGGGTACTTTACTTGATGATTATGGCGACGATAATGATGATTGGAATGGCTTTGATGGCGTTGAAAATGAAGATTGCGTGTAGTAGATTTGCTTTGCTGCTGCCTCTTCTTCGACTGCCCGCTGTGTGTGCCTGTGTGCTGTTTGTCCTTGTGTTTGTATTTGTGTTCGAGTCTGTGTGATGCCGTTGTGTGGGCGAGTTAGTAGTAGTTGCAGTAGTAGTGGTAGTAGTAGTTGTAGTAGCAGTAGTATTAGCTCACGTACACAGCGTACAGAGGGGCGGATTTGGAGGATTTGGGGTAATGCGTCCAACTACACACTATCAGCATTTGATTTTATTAGGCTCATTTGTATGTGCGTAGTGGGCAGTGTTCAGCTCACCTCCTCCACGACCCCCGGCGTGGGTGGCGGGGAGGGGGCGGTCATTGCGAGCAACAGGATGGCGGCTGGCCAGTCTTCAAGTGCTGCTGCTCAACTTTGACCTCCTGCGGCAGCAAAGGCGCTGGCGTCGCCGTCGCGTCGACTTTCACCGGCTGTGTTCTCTATTTTTCTCCGAATCACGCCAAAGCCCAGACTGAATGAAGAAGGAGGATGCTGCGAGCCAGCCATTCGGTTTCAGCCGAAATCGCCAGCGTCTTGGGCAGTTAGTAACCGTTAAGACGTCGTGGCTGCCTAGTCGCGAGTCCTTCGTCCTTTGCCTTCGTTCGCTCTCTCCGTCTCTTTAGTTTAGTTGGTTCTTTATGTTCCGTGTAACGACATTCCGGCGGCTCGAAAGCAGCCAGGTAAAAGGATCCGCGAGATCGGGGATCCCAACGGATACTCTCTATCTCTCGGCATCGACCACCCACCCAACCACCCACCCACCATCTATCGCGCTCATCATACATCATATACCATGTTTCGGGGGCAAGCGTTGCATACTTTTTTGGGGCTAGTGCGAGCGAGATGGGGAGCGCCGCAAAAGCCCAAGCGGGACAGAGCAAAAAGACAACGAATTAAAATTTAAAAACCGGCTCTCCTCACACACGCACAGTCACGCTCTTCAGCTCACACACACACACATACGCACTCACACATACGCAGGCCATCCTTTTTTATTCGCTTGGTTATTTTCGTGCGTCGATTTCCCCTTTCGACGTCGGTGGGCGGTGGGCGTAGTAGCTCGTAGTTCTCCATTATGAACGAGTGTGTGTGTGTGTGTATGTGTGTGAGAGTCCTTTTTATTTTCGTGCTTTACAAATTTTTGTATTTTTTATTTTTCGCTTTTCGCCTCGTCCTGTTTCGTTGGCGTTTTTTTGCGCGCGCTCCGCTCTCGTGTCGTCGTGTAAACGCGTTTTTTAAATTTCCCACTGCTGCCGGCATCGCACGGGGGTTGTTTGTGTGTGTGCGGTGCCGTGCCGTGCTGTGCCGTGCTGTATTGTGTTTGTGTGCGGGGGGAGGTGGGCGGTTGGGCGGTTGGGCGGCTTGGCGGGCATGCGGGGGGTGGACGCAGCATGCAGTGGGGTTGGTTGCGGATGGATTTTTTCCACCGCCGCACACACACACACACGCTGACTCTTTTTTCCTGCTGCTGCTGCTGCTGCTGCTTCTTATCCTCCTCTTCCCGTTTTCCTTTTTCGCTGCTGCCTTTTTCCATTTCTTTTTTTGTTTTTTTTTTTTTGTTTCAGCTGCTCTGCTGCGCTGCCGCTTTGGTTTTAGCATTTTCGTTCGTTTTTCGCATTTTTGTTTTGTTTCTGATTTTCCTTTTTGCCTGGCGTCGCTGCCGCTGCCACAGCCTCCGTCGGCGTCGCAGTCGCATCCTTTTTTTTAACGCCACACGCAGAAAAAAAGAGCAAACTTCGTCCTGCCCGTGTGCGTGTGTGTGAGTGTGTGTGTGTGCGAGCGAATAGTTGTTGTTGTGGCGGGACGACGGGGAGGGCGGCAAGTCAGCGAAATGAGTAATGAGTGTTTAGTACGTTGTTTGGCGGGTGATTTTTATGGCAGCGCTGCGGCAGAGCACCTGGGCGAGCGGCGAGGGGGGGCGCCAGATGGCGGACAGTGCAGGGCAGGGGCAGGGGGCAATTGGCCAGTGGACCGCGTCCAGTGCAGCAGCCAGTTGGCAGTGCGGAGCGAGCAAGTGCAGGCGGCGGATGGTCAGCGAAACGTAGCACAGCATTCGGGGCTACCTATTTGGCATTCGTCATCAGTAATCAGTAATCCGTAATCCGTAATCCTTGCTCTGCCAATCGCTTGTGTGTGTGTGTGAGCGTGTGTGTGTGTGTGCGCGCTTGTAATGACTTCAATTGTGTGCTAAACTTTCTATTCCACGGTCGCGCAGCTTCAGCATCATCAGCTTGGGCACCAAAACAAAGCTCCGTCGGCGGGCGTCGCTGCCTTCGTCCTGCGGCGACTTCGGAAGTCCTTCGGCTGGCTTCGGCGGCGCTTCGGCTGCTCCTTGCCAGGTCCTGCCGCCACTGCCGCTGCCGCTGCCGGTCCTGCTGCCGCTCTGCCGCAGCCGGCGTCGCTGCCAGCGGCCCTGGGCCGTTGCGATTGCGACTTGGACTTGAATCGAGTTGGGTTTTAAAAATAACGTTAGTTGCTGTTTGTTGCTCGTTACGTGCGCGTGTTGCGACGCGAACCAAAACCCAAATCAGCCACCAGCGGAAACGGAAATTGAAACTGAAACTGAAACTGAAACTGAAACAGAAACCCAACTGACGTCCCAGCTCGACTCTAATCATAGGCCAAGACACACAAACCCAGCACAGCTCAAAGATAACTGACTGAGTGAATTGTTCTGCCGTGTAGTTTGTTTTTTTGCAAGTGATTGTTAATGCGGCAAGGACAGCATCTCGGGATTTTAGGCATTTCCACCGTTTCCACCGCTTCCACCGCGCCGATTGTTGATTGTTTTCTTTTTGTTTGGTGAACCGCAGAGATGACAAGTTGTGCAATAAATCAAATCTAGAATCTAATCGAAGTGAAGGCCAGAGTAAAGGAAATAGGAACACCCAAAACGAAGTGATAAACCAGCCGATCCGGGGACAAACCAAATTACTATCAAATGCAATCTGAACCAACCGATAGAGTAGCGAGCAACCGCAACAAAAACCCTGACAAACTGTCCCAGTAAAAGTGAGAGTGTGTGGCGCGCGGAGTTCCCGAATTCCAGCCAGAGTCGGATCGCCAACCGGAATCCGGAGCAGCTCTAGGCGATCCCACGCACCAGACGCAGCCGGAGAATCAGACATGTAAGTGTGCTCTTTTTGGGGTTTCGAGGTTTATTTTGCCAGTATATACTGGCTGCTTTATCTGAATTTACGGCTGCAGGTTGGGTTGGGTTGCAGTACTTTTTATTAGGTTTGTCCAATAGTTGTATACAACAATGATATTGATCAATCGATGTGCTTCGCCCAACTGATTTCCTCTCTAACTAATCTTCTAAGCGCGTGCCTCCATTAAGTACTGTATAATATAAAATAGCTAGCTATCTGAGAGAGTTCGTAGATAGTAATATCGAAAAAGTAGAGGGAAGCACCACCAACCCTGTTAGCTATACATGTCGTTGGCATTCTGTTACCAATTACCTCCTAATTGGTACTGCCAGGATAACTTGTGGCACACCGTTTCCACAAAGGCGAAGTTTTGAAAATATTCGCAGTATGCTAACTTTGTTTA